ATATATATATATACAAGGGTACAATAATTTACCCAATTTACTTCTTGACTCGATTCAGACACTTGGACCTGAGCTCTCATAGAGTAAAAAGCTGCAGACATCAGACATATGAGTCTGAAAGTGTTTCCATACGGATCCAAATCTCAAAATAACATTTATCCAATTCCACACAGTGTCGAAAACTTTATTTGTACAGGAATATATAAAATTTAAATTACAGAGAAGCTTACCTTTGACACTTTTTCCTTTAAATTGTCCACAGAATCAAAAAGTTTTAAAATCTGCAAAGAGTAGTAACATGAGAACTGAGTGAAACTTTAAAACTTGTATATTTGCAAGAATTTATTTGCATTGGGCTTTAATTGATCATTTGAGATGTAGAAAATTATGACGATCATCAAGGAAACATCTGAATCTATCCACGTTACAAACATGAAAGTTGATTTTGGAACCAGGAGGTCATTATTAACACAAGCAGAGAGGAAAATAAAAAGCACCGACCTTTTTCAGTCCAGTGGACACAGCAGCTTCCTGCAGAGCAGACCTGTGGAGCCACCGTGTTTTTTCAGTCTGTGCTCGTGTGTTGCTCTCTGTCAGGCTCAAACTGTAAACCACATAGGTCTGGTGAATGTGGGAAAAGATGTGCATGACCTGAAAACAGACGATCACATGAGCACACAGAAACGTCTCGTTTTATCACAGGAGTGGAGCAGATCGCTGCTCATCAGTCTTACCTCTCCAACATACTGGAGGTGGTCAGTCATGCTGGTTCTTAGTACTGTGCTGATTTCATCCCTCAGTGCCTTCTTCTGTTTCACCTCAGAGTTTTCCTCCTTCAGCAGAAGACTTGGAAACTCCCATAAGCCTGCTAGCAAACCTGAAAACACACAGTCCTCTGATAAAAACTGAAATTAGACTTGCAGCTCGCTCATAAAGGTGTGCTTTCACTCATCCGTGAGTCCATGTTAAGTTTTTATGAATGTAAGTAGCTCTCTTTCAAGTTTTAGAAATAAATTAAAATGCAAGTTAATGAAGAGTTACAATTTGTAGTAATAAAAGTTGAGATGATGATAATAATAGTAATACATGGAAATGTAATGCTTGTTATAATAACAGTAATAAAATAGTACTGACAAAGAGTAATACTGATTTATATTTATATAAATAGGAGAATATAGGGAGGGCATCATTATTATTGTATTGTATATTGATATTGGTGGTATGGATGCACAGTTGGTAGAGCTACCATCTCCCAGTGAGCAGGACACGCTGGTTCAAATCCCAGCCGGGAGCCTTGCTGGGTGGAGTTTGCATGTTCTCTCCATGAATGCATGGGTTTTCTCTGGGTATTCTGGTTTCCTCCCACAGACTAAAAACATGCATGTTAGGCTGATTGGTAACTCTAAATTGTCCCTAGTTGTGAATGAGAGAGTGAATGTTTGTCTCATTTGTCTCTATGTGATGGACTGGAGACCTGTCCAGGGTGTCCCCTGCCTCTCGCACAGTGATGGCTGGATAAGGGCACCAGTGACCCCAGCGACCCAAAAAGGAAGAAGTGGGTAAAGATAATGGATGGATATTGAATATGTATTAATGTTCTGTTTGGTCTTTTTTTTTTTCCTTCCAGTTGTTCATGTGTGGTTGTCGTTTTTTGTACATTTTTGTTCTGGACAATCCATGAGAAATTCAAAGGAGAGGCATAACAAGCCTTCAGCTTCTGCCTTTTATTTATTGGTCATAAAGGGTTTATTTATTCATTTATTTGTTTGTTTGAAACTGTTATTTTTGGCATGACCAAATAAACCAATCAAACAATTCATTCATTCATTAATTCATTCAAAAAAAAAAAAAAGATGACTTGTGTTTTTCACTTATTGTAACATTTAAATCAGGTTTCAGGTTAAAACTGAATGAGGCCTGGACAAAAGCGAACGGATGAGGTTCAAGCTCCAACCTTTGTTTGGTCTCTGTGTGAGCAGGAACTCCTCGCCTCCCTCCTCCCCAGGTCTGGAGACCACGCATGTCAGAGTTCGCTCTACACGTGGAGCCTTCTTCGCTGGCTTCCTTGGAAAGTTTTGGACACCCAGCTCATGGTCCCATGGCTCAGAGGGACACAACAAACAGGTCTCACCGTTCACTGAGAGGAAAGAGGAGGAGACAGCGAAGTAAGGAATCAATCGATTTCTGTAAATGATCAAGTGGGAGGAGGAGGAGGCTTACTGCAGTCTTCTATGTCAGGAAGATCAGGAGTCGTTTTGTGCACCTTCCCCAAAAGCTTCATAGAGTTTTGTTTCTGTTTGACATAAACCTGCACAAAAATGCACTGTAAAAGAACAATCCAAACCAAAACTCAGACTATTTATTCTAAATGTCTATGTTGGATATAAAATGACATCCAGAAACCACCCACCTTGCGATACGAGCGACAGTGCGACTGCACAGGACACTGGAAGCACAGCGGTCCTTTGGGGGTGCATACTCGCGCTCCTAACTCCATCATGGCCTGGTTGAAGTCTCCAGGTCTCTCAGGATCCACCAGCAAGTTGGCAAGATTCCTGACACAATAAAATAAAAAATAGAAAAACTTGGATTGTAGCGTCATCCCTCAAACTTAACACCTTGTTATTTACAGGATCTCTTGGAGCTTTTGTTTTGAAGGTTTCTCTCACCAAAGAGCTTCGGTTACTGCTGGACTCGTGCTGTCGGCTCCGACAGCCCTCAGACGACACAGAACCCGAACCACGTTGCCATCTACTGCTCCGGTAACCTTGGCAACAAGGGTCAGAACAGTCATCAGCGATAAATAAATTTAAAAAGCTGTTAGTTAAAGTTAGATTTGTGCATGTGTTGTTTTCCTGTAGGCTGCTCACTTCTGCAGGGGTCGCAGCAGCGAGTGAAGTCGCATGAAAAATGTGACAGTTTGATGCCAGATGGCCTTGTGACACAACCTGGGCTCAAACCTCCGGATTAGAAGACCGTGCCACTAACTACTCCATGTATGAGGGCACCTAAAAAGTTTTTTACAGTTCTGTTACTCGTATGAAACAAACATTTTCTATGAAAAACAACTTCCTGCTTTGTGATGCTTTGCTGACACTTTACTGCAGCGGTCTTTAAATGTCATTTGTGGCTTTCTCTGACTTTAATTTGGTTTTACAAAGAAAAACACTAAACTGTTTGAAATCATGTGACAGCACAATATACCACCTATTTTCCCTTTTAACCCCCCCAGATTGTTTATATATTGTTTTGGCTCATTGTACATTGAAGAGCCTTAAGAAGCCTGTAACCTACATTCAAAAAAAATCATCCAGCTGCTCTCGTCACATCGTCAGTAAACATTACTGAGGTGCTCGAGGCAATGCATGCCATCTCTCTTTGTGCATTATTCAATTTATGTGTTAGGGGTCAAACAATCAGCCTCCTGCAAACTTTCTTTGCTTTTTTTTCACTTCATCTGTTCAAAACATATCTTGTGTCTTTTTTTGTTGTTGTTGCCAGTTATGACAGAAGTCCTACAACCTTTGGCTTCATAAAATGAAGGCAAACATGAAGGGGCTTGCAATTATTAAAATAAAGTAAAAAGGTTTGCTTATTTCCATAAGCACTAACCTACTGTTACTGTCTTCATTACTTCAAATCATTTTTAATTCATGCAGAATTACAGAGCTATTTTTCAAACACTGGTTACGTTTTAAAATGCCGTTCAGCTGATATTCACAAACCCTCTCTTCAGTTTGACAGCAAAATAAGTCAATGTTGACATGACGACTGTCATCATCTCTGGTCCAAAGAAAAACATGCAGCAGCCCAAACAGATGCCCACTTCTCCTGACCTACCTGTCCCAGTGCGATAGAGCCAACAGCTGCAGCGGTGTAGCGTCCCACACCAGGTAACTGTTTCAGCAAGTCCTCAACGGTCTGCGGCATCTGTCCCTTCAGCTCCGACATCACCTGAAGCAGAACAGTCAACAAAACTCTTGTAGATCTGCTTTTAAAAAGCAAACTTATTAAGTTATATGTTAAACATAATGTTAATTGGAGTTATGGAAAAGGTGATTGAAGTGAAAGAACTAACGTTTGTCAAAAATCCAGTTCTAAGCTACAAAAGTGTGACAGTGATGACCTTTTGAGCTCCTTCGTGAAGCCTTTTTCCACGAGAGTAGTAGCCAAGGCCTGCCCACATCTGGTTTACCTCCTGCACACCAACAACAGCAACGTAAATTTAAAGTAACACAAATAAATCCAAACGCACTGATTTAAAATGTATTACCTCTAATGTGGCAGCTGCAAGATCCTGGACTCTGGGCCACCTCTGAAGCAAAATAAATACAGGAGCTAAGTGAGAGATCACAGGAAGACTTCAAGTCCAATAACTGTACAAATTTCCTACCTTCATCCATCTGTTGTAGTAGTCTTTTACAGTGGCAACTTGAGTCTGTTGCAGCATTATTTCTGAAACCCACACTGGAAAAAACAACAGAGAAAAATAGCAACTTACACTTTAGAGTTGTTAAAGAGTGTATGCGCAAGTTAATAATGTTAATTTATTTATATTCCTTACCTGCATATGTCCTGATGTTGCGATCTGACTCCGTCATACCCTTCAGGAAATGTACACACAGTACATTTTTATTTCACTTCATGTATTGCTTATATTAAACAATACTGACAGATTATATTTTTTACTGATCTAAACCTGAGTAATAACCGATGTGCATTAATAACAAAAAAAAGTAATTGTTGTTTTTTTTTAATGCAAAATGTTTGCCAAACACACATTAAAATGCAATTACCGGCACATTTTTTTTAGAAAAATTTTATAAAAACTGCAGAATCCTCCCCAAACTATATAACAAGATGCAGCATGAGCACAGCAAAAACTCGATGTTGATTTTGATCCTGTTTTGTTTTTTAGTTGGAGAAATGTGCCATTAACCCCAACATGATATCTACCATTCATAGCATATGTCTGTGGAAAACAAGATGTTATTTAGCAAAAAGTTAAATGTAGCAATTGTTTATTTTTACCAGAGTCCTCCATGGCAGCTCTCTCTTGTCCTCGTCATACCAGCTGAGGAGCTGAGAGCGAAGCTGAACAACATCAGCAGGATCAGAGAAGCTGTGGTACGAAGATGATGGAGGCTCCTCTGCAGGTAAATACACAACTCTCATTCAAACAAAGCACCACACTGTTCACAAATGCTATTATTTGGGTGATATCAGAGGCACTGTTTCTGTGCAGAGGTGAGAAATAAATGTTTGTATAAAATGACTTATTTTTATCTCTGTAGCTGTTTGTTAAACGTTGCATATACAAACAAACATCTAGCATAAAAATGTAAATAAATACTCTGCACGTGTCATTATACAGTATTATAATTATGAAATTAGCAGCGTACCTTCTTTAAAGGGTTTTTTTGACCTCTTCCGGGTCTGAACTTTTGTTTCTACCGACTCCTGTCGGGCTCTTTTGCCCTTAAATACAGCTGAACGTAACCTATTCATTGTTTAAAACTCAATAAACTGTATCTGTCCGCTCACTGGCAACATAACTGATCCATTTGTGATTTAATTTAGCTCCCGCCAGCTTCAGGAAGGGCGGTACTGTTTGTCCAATCAGCAGTAAGTAAACTAGAGCGTGTGTTGACGTCATTTCCGGTGAGTTGAAGACTCCCTCAAAACATAAAGTTTATAACTACACCGGGTAAAATGGATTTTAGTTTGGCTTAAACCAGCTAAACACTAGCTATAAATGTCAAAAATAGTGAAACAATATATAAAAATAGCAAAACACAAGCTAAATGCAGCAAAACTAACTAAAAGTAGCAGAATATGCTGCCAAAATCTGAAAGTGTTTGCTAAATTAAAATGTTATGTAAAAGCTTTTAGAAGCAAAACAAGCTAAAAGTAGCAAAATGCAAACTCTTGTTCTCAGAGTGAACGTGGATGGAGCCATTCTTAGATTTGGTTTGTTTGTTTGTTTGTTTATTTGTTTTGCAGGAATATTCCTGTTAGTTTTTTTGGTATTAACTTGTGTTTTTCTTTGTGCCCTCCATCCTATTTTGTCCACTGTCACCCACATGAGTTGGGTTATCTGGTGTTTGGTTTTGATTTTGCCCTCTGTCCTTTGGTTTCCATTAGTTAAATAGTTTTTGTTTTGGGACTCCAGGGCCCTTAAGTCACTGTCTTGTTCTGTAGCTCGTGTTGTTTGTTTAATTTTTCTGTGATTATTGTATTTTTGCTTGTGTTTCAGCCTCCCCAGTGTTTTCCCCTCAGTTCATGCTCTGCTCATGCCCCTCCCACTCTCATCTGATCCTCATATTCTCTCCTCAGGTGTTGTCTTTTCTCATTTTTCCTTTAAAGCTTGTGTCCTGTTTCTCATTTGTTGTCCATGCATTATGTTTTGAAGCCGTCATACGTTTTCCTTCGACTTTTCCTAAAAACAATTTTCTGTAAATATTTTTTGCTGCCTCATCAGCCTTTTGTTTTCTTGTTTTAATAAATTAGATCAGTCCTTTTTGAATTTTTGGTTCTCCATTTTGTGTTCACTTTTTCCCCCAAAAAACAAAAACATGATAGAAATAATAATATCATAAACTGTTTGAAAGCTTTGCAGCGAGCAAACTCTCACATACTTGGCTTCCCAGATTATTGACTGTTTTAAATCTGAAAAAATAAAATAATAATAATTTCTTTACAGGAATTTAGTCTTGGTTTAGCAGAATGTCTTGGCCTTTATTGTACAAGCTTAATTAATTGTTTAATTTGTTTTTAATTATTTTGTTTATATGTTTAAATATTTAATAAAATTTTATTGTGTGGCTGATTTATTGATCTTACACCCTGTAAAGCTCTGTGGCCAGGGGGAGTGGTGGCTCAGAGGTTAGAGATGGCAATCCTATGATGGGAAGGTTGCCAGCATAAATCCCCTTGATCTACATCAACATGTAGGTGGGAAAGATGAAGCACCCACACCTGCCTCCACCCTCATTTGTCCCACTCATGGCCCTTGAGCAAGGCCCCATCTGCTCACTCAGGCTGCCCTCTGCTCCACTCATGTGGGCTGTGACAGCTTTGTGGTCTGCGTCAGGAAGGGTCTCCGGTTTATAGAAAGAGCCAAGTCTTTCTGCGAGTTCACTCACTGTAGCGACCCATGAAAAAGGGAGAAACCAAAATAGTAAAAGCCCTGTAAAGCTCTTTGGCCATGTATCAGAGACAGAGAGATTTATTTGTCATTCACATCTCATGTGGTACATGTGGTGGAACAAGATTATGTACACAAGATCCCAGTTACATCCAACAATAAAATGTAAAATAAAAACAGTAATAAGATATGAACTAAGAAAAACATCAGCTAAATGAATGTATGGTTGTCTTTAAAGTGTTATATAAATACACTTTGACTTGACATGACATGACTTGTCTTAAAACAAGTCCTGAGTCTTGTTCCCCCCCCAAAGGAGGCACACCTTTACATGGGGTGGCAATTTCTGGAAAATGAAAGTGACTTCTCCAACAGTTTTTTTTAGTGTTGTGTTCATAGAATTTTTCACAAGAACTAAGAAACCTATCCATTTCTCAATCCTGCTTTAAGTTGAGGTAAGTTCAGCTTCATTCTGACAACTGTTACATGTGGATGTATTTATAGGATAAAAATGTGAACAAATAAATGCAAATTCGATTAACTCATTGAAGCAAAATATAGTTTGAATTATTTCATTAGTATTTTGTCAAAACTTTGATTTTTGTCTCGGTGCCAAAGCAAAGCGTTGATTTCTTGAAGTGCTCACTGTTTTTCTTTTTCCCACCCAGAGAAAAGTTCTATTAAAATGAATGGAAATGTGTTGTTTTTCTGTGTCCTCCTTTGGCGGATCAGTTTTTCCAGTGGTGAGTTAACTTTTTATTTATTACTTGTTGCTACTACTATATTTAAAAAGCACTTTTAAACCAACACAGTTGCAACAAAGTGATGAACATATAAAATCAATGAACATTTACAGTTACATCAATAAAGCAGGAGTGGAAAAAAGACAAAAGCAAGTCCAAGGCTGTGCCAAAGACCAGGAAATAAATGTGCACTTTTAGAAGAGTTTTAAAGTGGACAGGGAAGCGGCTTGTCTGATACAAAGTAGGAAATTGTTCCATTTTAGGAGCAGCAACACATAAAGCTTTGTTCTCTCAGAGCTTTTATTTGGATCTTGGCACCTCCAGGAGCAGTGAGCAGGAGGAGAGTATGGGTGAAGCCACTCAGGGTGGGGCAAGACCAGCCAAACTTTTAAAAACAACTTTAAAACATCTTAAAATGAACAGGCAGCCAGTGATGCAAAGCCAGAATGGGAGAGATTTGCACCCTTTTACGAACACCAGTTAAAAGCTGAGCATCAGCATTCTGGACCAACTGGATACCTTTAAGGAAGAAGCGTCTGACTCCAAGGTAAAGATCATTGCAGTAATCAAGCAGAGATGTGACAAATGCATGGGTAGCTGTTTCAAAATACTGTTGTGTGGAAATCAGCTTTACTTTTGCCAGATTCCTGTGATAATAAAAACTAGACTTGATTACTGCTACAACCTGGGAATCTAATTTAAAGTCTCTTTCCATTTCAAAACCCAAATGAGAAACTATTTGATTTTCATATGGTGCCAGACAGCTCAGATTAACAGAAGATGGTTCACAGGAGCCACTGGGACCAAACACCATGACTTCTGTTTCCCTGTCCTTCAGATTTAAAAAGTTTAAGGACATGCAGGCTTTGATATCTTTGAGACACAACAAAAGTTGCCTAATTCAATTCAATTCAGTTTATTTATATAGCACCAAGTCACAACAGAAGTCATCTCAGGGCACTGTACAGATAAAAAGTAAGTTAACAACATTATTTATCTTAGGAGCAGACTGCTTTGAGTTTAACTTGATTGCAGACTCATCTTAAGCAAGTATGAAGGCAACAGTAGAAAGGAAAAACCCTCATGAGGAAGAAACCTCAAAGCAGATCCAGGCTCAGGACAAGTGGTCATCTGCTGCTTAATTGAGAGGGCATCTTTCTTTTTCAGTGGTATAAATCAATCTGACTGTCCCCAGTATAACAATGAAAAAGATCCCGTTTCCTGAGTACTAAACTCAAAGGAAGCAGGTAAAGGGAAGAAAGCAGGGGGCCTAAGATAAAGCCCTGTGGAACCCCAGAAGACAGAGGGACAGTGGAGAATTCAGAACCAGCTATATTGACACACATGGTTCTGTCTAGTACCAGATATGACCTAAACCAGTTTAGTGCAATACCACAGATACCCACTTGGTGCTGTAAATGAGACATAAAATGTTCACTGTTCAAAAGCAACACTTACCGTAGACAGAGCAAAAGAACCACATGTTCACCATAATCATTAGCCAAAGGAATGCCATTAAAATTTTCACAAGAGCTGATTCTGTGATGTGCTAAATTTTGAGGACAGACTATAAAACCTCCAGGATATTGTGTTCATCCCATAAAGGCTCGATCAGGGAATAGATCAATTTTAGAAATAAAGGCAGCTCGGAGATGGGCTTAGTCTCCAAAGCAGAGGCTTAAAATTAGCCAAGACATTTTGGTTGAGGACAGTTTTTTTAAGCAGGGGATGCTCCACAGCACGTTTAAAGCATTTATGCATAACACCTGAGGACAGAATATAAATAACAGCAAAGATAACCTGCCTGATGCTGGAAATAAAATAACTTTTAAAAAGTGCAGGGGCAGGGTGGGAGTGAGAGATAGGATCACAAGGGGAACCACATGGCTTGTTATGGCCAAGCTCATCCTCTAAAAGTGCCAAAGTCGCTGCCTCGAACCTGTCAAACACAGCCAGACAGGGGGACAAGCAGCTGGAGGCAAAATCATAGGCTGAGATGAGGGCCCTTATGATAGAAACCGTATTTATAAAAAGTGCAGGAAGTTATTATTCTGACAAATTATTAAGTTGTATTACTCTTTACTTCAGTCAAGCAAATGTCCCACGATAAACCTTCTTCATAGTGCTGGCCAGTGTCTCCTATCAAATATAAAAATGTTGATCGCTCAAATATGAAAACATGTGTATGATGAATATAATGACTCCCCCCCCCCCCCCCACACACACACACACACATGCACTGATTAAATTTTTTCCTTTAAACATTTTTCCTTTCTTTATTAATTTGTTTATTCGAAAGAGCAGATTTTAGTTGATGAGAACTAATAACTCTTTTTTATTTAGCAATGACTAAAGTTGGCTTTATTTTTCACAAGGTCATGAAGAAGGTTTAATCAGACTGATAGGAGGGCAAGACGAATCAGAGGGTCGTGTGGAAATCTTTCATGATGGAGAGTGGGGGACTGTATGCGATGACAACTGGGATATAGATGATGCTCATGTGGTGTGTCAACAGCTGTATTATATGGGTGCAAAAGAAGCTCCAGGATCTGCTACTTTTGGCCAGGGTAAGACGAATAACTGACTGTGCTGCATCAAATTCAAAGCTGTACAGTACACTAATAAAGAGTCTTGAGTGAAGTTGTTTTTGATATTACTGTATTTGTGTGAGTGCCAATACTGAAGCACCCTTATAGTAGAAACCTCATTGAATGTTTAAATGGGTCAAGAGGAGTTAACATGACTGAACTGGTATTTTGACATCTTTAATGGTTTTTACATAACAACAGTTTAGGTTTTAGGATTTTGTGTGGGGGTAATTTTACCACAAAATGTTCAACAAACTTGTAATGGTATTGTTCAATAGAAATGGTTTAATTTGTCTAAACATTTGAAACTGATTTTGTTTTAGGGACTGGAAACATCTGGATGGATGATGTAAGCTGCAGTGGAGCAGAGATAGACCTGCTCCACTGTACCTTTCCTGGATGGGGAACACATAACTGTGGCCACTCTGAAGATGCAGGCGTTAGGTGTGAAATATGTAAGTCAACCAATGCTAGGAAGTTAGTATGCATCTTAATTTGAACAATATACACTAACATCTCAAATCCTCATTGCTCACTTTGCAAATATTTATTTCTGCAAGGGCCAGAGACTCATGTGGAAACTCTTAGTCATGAATACACCGTGGACCACAATGCATCCCTCTCTCATCAGCTGGAAGAGCTGTTTGATGGTCAACACGACTGTGACTTGAACATACCAGTGAGGGTGGACAACAACACAGTGGAGATGGTCTGTGCTCACAAGATCATACTTTCGCTGAACCCAGATCTCAAAACATCTCAGACGAACTTCCACAGCCTCAGCATAGATGTTACATCTGACTGTATTCAACATGCCAATACATTTATCAGGTAAAACCTTTATTTTCAGCCTATCTCTGTTTCTACATCTAATTTCAGATGCAAATAACTAAAAATGGTAATGTTTCAGATACTTCTACACAAGAAAAATGAAAATCACACTTGCCTCTGCCTATTGCCTTCTGAAGATGGCTTACGACTGGAGACTTGCAGAATTTCAGAGTGAGGCTGTAGATATTGTCAGATCATTTCTCCCAGAGGATTCTACTTTCCAGAGTCAGAGCTCCTTCTGTCAGTATGCAGTGAATGTTGGTGACCAGGCTGTACAAGATATTTGTCTTCAGTACTTGGCTTGGAACTGCGAGGAGCTGATCCTATCCCCAGCCTGGACAGAACTTCCACTCCACCTTGTTACGGCTCTTCTTGCCCGTTCAGACCTTGTGGTGCATAACGAAAGCATCATTTTGCATGGACTGAAGAAATGGGCAGCGGCTCAGGAAAATACGACGATCCCCAAGATTCTTCTCAAGCTTGTTCGCTTCCCAATGATGCCAGCTGAGGACTTATACAAACTTGATGGTTCACAGTATCATGACAGCAAGTTGCAGGGCTTTCAATTCAATGCTCTCCCAGTGAGCATGTTGCTCACTGATCTGACCGAGGAAGAAACTATGTACACACCAAGGATTTACATGGCCAAACCATGGAGCTTCTCTTTCAGCACCCGGATCAGAGCTTATATTTTTTCTGGTCTCTATGTTACTATGAACAAGAGCATCAGCAGTGTGGTATCAGATTTTGAAACCCCTGCTCATAACAGTGCCTACTTTACCTTTTACAACATAAAATGGAAAACAAGGGTATTTATCAAGAATGAAGAGTGCACAAGAGAAGGTGTCACCTGTTCCTCTTTGCCTGCAGTTAGTTTAAAGATTCAAGAAAGGCCGAGTAATTTATCCAGTGAAATGGAAGGGCGTATTCTTTACAGAAATAAGCTTGTTCTTCTGTGTGAAGGGAGGTATGTGTCTCACGTTGATGAATTTACCTCTATGGACAGTGACAAACCTATAATAATTCCCAACATTGCAGAACAAACTTACCCTTGCCCATCAAATGTCTTCACCTTTCAAGTGGTGGTGCGGCCGCAGTACTCAACTGATTAGTTTTGGCATATATCCTATTAGATCGTATTTAACAGAGGTAAGTTTTTGTGTCAGTTTCAGAATTTTAGAGTTTTCTGTAGAACTCCTTAGTTATGGAGTAACTCAGGGCTATATAACTGGCCCTCTTGTCTTTTTCCTGTTTTTATTTCCACTGGGTTATATTATCTGGAAACATGGTGTTGTTTTCCATTTTTATGCTAATGAAAGGATAATCAATATTATATGAACCAACTGTTGTAATTTAACAAGGTTGAGTCAGGTCCTCTGGACCTCTGGTCACTGGTGCCCATATTCAACTATCACTGTACCAGAGGCAGGGTACACCCTGGACAAGTCTCCAGTCCATCACAGGGCCACATAGAGACAAATGAGACAAACAACCATTCACTCTCTCACTCACACCTAGGGACGATTTACAATTATCAATCAGCCTAACATGCATGTTTTTTGACTGTGGAAAGAAACCGAAGTACCCGGAGGAAACCCACGCATGCATGGAGAGAACATGCAAACTCCACCCAGAAAGTCCCCTGGACCGGGATTTGAACCAGGGCAACCTGCTCGCTGAGAGGCAGCAGCTCTACCAACTGTGCCACCGTGCTGCCATCCTCTTGACATTTTTGTTGTTGAAACGTTTCATCTTTCATCCAAAATACTTCAGTCCGAGGAGCTGCAACAAACTCAGTCTTATAAATAGCACCTTCACGTAGTTGGTCAACCAGTTTGATGGTGCTCAGATGGTTTCTGAGGCAGTCATGGCCAAAGTGGTTCAAAATATGAACACACTATGTGAAGGTGCTATTTATAAGACTGCATTTGTTGCAGCTCCTCAGACTGAAGAAGTCTTTGGTATGAAAGACAAAACATTTCAACAAAAAGAAACAGTCCAGAGGACCTGACTTAACTTTGTTGGAATTTTCTACTTGTATTACTGAGCATAAATAAGGATATCTGGGGCTTTTAACTTTCTTTTATAGGTGTACAGCACTTTAGTTAATGGTGTAGCTTGTAAAGTGCCTTTTAAATAAAGTTCTAGTGTATTGTATGTTTGTGCAAGGTGTGGGGTGTTATTTTATACACAGACAGTAGCATGTAGGTGACGCAAAACAAATGATGAACAGCCATCCATTATCTTTAACCTGCTTCTTCCTTTTGGGTTGCAGGGGTCACTGGTGCCCATATCCAGCAGTTTCTGTGCGAGAGGCAGAGGAGGACACACTGGACAGGTCTCCAGTCCATCACACAAAGAGACAAACGAGACAAACAACCATTCACAAGTTAGGGTGGTACAGTGACTCGGTTGGTAGAGCTGTTGCCTCTCAGCAAGAAGGTCGCCGGATCAAATCCCAGCCTGGGACCTTTCTGGCTAGAGTTTGCATGTTCTCTCTGTGCATGTGTGGGTTTTCGCCAGATACTCTGGTTTCCTCCCACAGACCAAAAACATGTTAGGCTGCTTGGTAACTCTAAATTGTCCCTAGGTGTGCATGAGAATGGTTGTTTGTCTTTTTTGTCTCAAGTGCCCCTGTGATGAACTGGAGACCTGTCCAGGGTGTCCCCTGCCTCTTGCACAGTGACTGCTGGATATGGACACCAGCGACACCCGTGACACAAAAGGGAAGAAGTGGGTAAAGATAATGGATGGTTGAAAAAAAAATAAGTTACTGGTCATAGTAATGGTCTGTACAAATTACCAAAGGTTTTTTTTGTTCTGGGTCCAGTAAAAATGCAAATCTGCCTAGACAACTGTAAGGAAACTCCTATGAACATTTTTCTCAATGGTTTCATTAAAGTAGGATTCAAAACATTCACTGGATTCTGTAAGTGTTCTTCCAAATAAAATAAAAATAAGTAAACAATAATAATGAGTTTCACAAAACATCCTTCAGAGAATGTTTAAGGTGTGGTCCCTTCATCCATGAAATGTTATATTACATTACCAATTATAATAATGTTATATGATGTTTGTGACATCATAAGTGATTTAACCTAAATTTGTGACATGACAAACATATCATTGAACACTGTCTGTTTTGCAAAATTTCCAGAGTATTGAATTCCAGAGTATTGCACTTTTTAACAATAGACCATTTTACAGTTTGCATTTTGGTCTAGAGATATTTATGCCTACTTCTGATTTGTTGAAATACATGTAGTCTAAAACAGTTTTCACATCTACATATGTTTCAGCTGTGCTCGCAGTCATTCCGACACTCGACAACACAGCAGGTTGAGGACATTTTACCATCCCAAAATTAAATAAAACAAATTTATGAACATGTCTGAACATTAACGTAAAATAAAAACAGGTTTAAATGACGAAAACACTAGAGTTGAACGCCAGTTTTGATACCGGAAATAGCTATGAATATATTTTGAATGTGGCGCCTATTTTCGCGCATGCGCGGTAGCAACGAAACCTCCAAACAATGTTATTAATATGTCCTGTCAGGTCAAGTAGGACTAGTTCAAGCCGTGGACTAGTGAACCAGAGAAGTTATAGCTTTCAGAGTATTTCCACCAGGTGGGGAAGAAGTGTAGCCGGTGAAGTCAGAGGTTTGCTGCCCTCCGTAGGCTACTTCCCGGTAAACGTTCTTTTTCAAGATAAGCCACATCTCGGCGCGGTGAAGAAAAGAGCAGCGGTGTTTCACGGTTCAAACTCATATTATAATACCACACAAGTCACCTAATGTACCTGCTGTGTAGAGTTTCTAACAGAGATGCCTCCGAGGCTCCTGGACGCACTTTTAAATCTACGTCAAAGACAAATAGCCGCGGCTTCACGCGCACGCGGCGACACTTGATTTTTTTCCCCCCCTCGCTGATTTATCGCCTAATCTTTAAGCATTTTTTTTTTTTTAAACATTTTTTATTTTAATTAACGTGTTTCTCTCCGCACCACTCTGCCATCATAGCTGTTGTTTTGGACTTTCAGTGACGATAACGGAAAGTAAAAAATAAAAAGAACACCGGCGCGTGAGAAGAACACTGGGAGAGTGACAAGGACGGGCAGAGAGGGAGAAAAGAAAGGGGAGGGGAACTGACATTAAAGCAACACAACAAGGAAACTAGGCTGCAGAGCCCCGCAGACGCCTTCATTTTATGTTTTTGAATAATAGCCGGAGCTAGTGTGGCCAAGTGTGTGGAGCTCCCCGGCTCGCACCGCCTCGAGTGTCCCGGAAAAGAGCAGCTTCGCACCGCCTGGAAGGCGCTCTCCGTCGCTTTCACAGATATGGGTGAGAATAAAGAACGAGGGCTTTAATTGTGATCTGAGTGAAATGATCTGAGTGAGGGGGGGTTGAAACATACAGGCCTCTTCTTGCGGATACATCCGTTCCTCTAATGGGAGCTGAACACAAAGGCCAGCGCTGTTTAGATGTAATTAATAAAATGGCAATTCTGGTGATTGATATTTCACTTGAGGTTCCATTTATGTATTTAGTGGCTATAGTTGTATCAGCTGCAGGTATAAGGATGCTGGCTGCCATTACAATGAGGCGTTCACTTAGAAGTCCTTGTAATTACAACAGTTTTGTGAGTTTGTTCATCATGTTACCAAGCTGTAGATGTAATGGAACTGTTTGTTTTCACGTGCACGTTACACCTTCACATCATTGCATGTGACCTCTCTGTGTGGAAATGTTTGTGTGCTTTCAGAATTCGAACCGCCGGGCTCCCCGCAGGTCGTGGAGGATGGAGGTGAGGAGGATGAGGAGGAGCTGAGTGGAGGCGAGGAGGCAGACTGTCGGACCACGTCGGGTCGGGGCTCCCTGCTGACCCGGAGAGGGATCACCCTGCGAGTGCTGCTGAAGGATGGCCTGGTGGAGCCGGGGGACGGCGTGCTGGCCATCCATTACCTGGTATTTATACATATTACTATTAAACTTATATATTATTACTGAGGTTCTAACCATGAAATGCAACACGTCACCTGTTTCCTGCTCCCTCAGGGTAAGAACTTTGTAGGTGACCTGTTGAATGACGGGAAAATCCGATGGGTGGAGACGGGGCAGATCTTTAACTCTCCCAGCGCCTGGGCAACGCACTGCAAGCGTCTGGTCAACCCGGCTAAGAAGTCTGGCTGTGGCTGGGCGTCCGTGCGCTACCGGGGACAGAAGCTGGCCCAGTACAAAACCACATGGCTGCACAAATACCAGCCCAGCGCAGACATGGTGAGAGGAGGGCCGTGGACACTCCACTTCTAGCTTTATTTTTCATTTTACAGGACAAACATCATGAGTTCCATCATGATTTGATTTATAGAGCCAAGTCGGACATGCGCTTCAAAGCAAATGTCTGATTTTTTTTGTTTGTTTGTTCTTTTGCAGCTCCAGCAGGCGTTAGCTCACACATAAAATATGGTCTGAGGTTCTTAATCTTTTTCATCTGGCCCTCAGAGTCCTCAACTATAAAGTTAAATCAATGAAAACCAGCATGTTAAAAGTCAATTCTGAGGAGACAGAAAACGAAGATTAAAACTAAAGATTTTTAAGTTTTATCTGCAAGGCAATGTAGGTTATCTGTTGTATTGGATGCACCAGCAAATAAATTAATAACAAACAAAATAATCAAAAGCATTTTTCAAACAAGTGCACGCATAGATGAGCATTAAATTATCATGTCTTATAATCAGTTCCTTGATTTTTTTGTTAAACTGATAATAAATTCAAGTTCAAGTAGACACTTTATGGCCATCTTATAAACTTGATCTTGCAGATAAAAGTTGGAAAAATACTAGAAAGTAGGGGTGCAGTGCACCGATTGCAGTTTTCTGGCCAGTCACGATCTCTAAAAAAACCTGACCTGCCGATTTTGGCTGATGCTGATTTTGTTTTATAAGCGACACTGTCAGGTGTTATGAGGTCACGATGCACCTTCAATTTTACAATCTTATTTTATGGAAAAACATACCCATGACCAATATCCTAGAAACACTAAAAACTTGTTTTAACTGGCCATGCAGTAGTGCGCTGAAATATAAATGAAGTTTAGACAATTGTTGTTAAAACTACAAAAAAAAAAAAAAATCAGTAAAATCATTTTTTCATGTATCAGCCAATCACCCAAAATTAAGGAAATTGGGTCCGATAAATCGGTTGGCCTAATTATCGGTGCACCTGTACTTGAAAGAGTCTAAGATTTTATTTTATTCCAGTTTAATGTGACCCTTATAGCTTTAAGTCAGTATGAAAACTAAATTTACCCACTGTATTTAAAAAGTGTTTAAGAATATTGAGTCAGGAAGAAGCACAAAAACTGTTTTTAAAGTTTAAAATACAAATTTTTTGGCTCTGCATTTGACAGAAAATAGAGTTAGTATTAAGATAAAGTTTATAAATAATAATCTGGATTATTTATTTTTTTTTAATTTCTCATACTGCCAGAGTCTGGTGAGTGAGGAAGACGATGATGAGGATGATGAAGAAGGAAAGACCGCTGTGCAGGCGGATGAGAGGAATAAGAACAAGCAGCTTGGATTTCATGGTCTCTCTGCTCTTCGTGTTCTGCTTCTACTGTGTCCTCTCAGACGTTAATAACGTTCATCTCCACTCTGCCGCAGATGTAATGGTTTCACGTCGAACCGACAGAGAGAGGATTCCCGTCAGATATTGCTCCTTGGGCACCAGAGATGCTGCCAAGTACGTAGTTTTACCCTTTAATTCCATGTGCCTGGTGTGTCGTGGGTGAAATGAAACACGTGACAGACATTTGATCCTGTCTCCTCAGAGATTCACACACGCTGGTGGAGCTGTCGGCATTTTCGGCCATCAACAGATTCCAGCCGTTCAATGTAGCCGTCTCCAGCAATGTTCTGCTGCTAATGGTATGTGCTTACTTGTTCTGAAGGTGGATGCTCAATAAAGACGAGCTAAGCAGCAAAGCTGTTTACTTTGTTGACCTTTATAGGACTTCCATTGTCACCTGACCTCCAGCGAGGTGGTGGGATACCTCGGAGGACGATGGGACACCAACACACAGTGTGAGTGTAACTAGGCCTGTCACGATAACAAATTTTGCTGGGCGATTAATTGTCTCAGAAATTATTGCGATAAACGATAATATTGTTTGAAATTTGCCAATAATTAGTCATTATTGACAAATTTAAGAAGACATTTTTAATTTGTTTTGAGTGTAGTACCTTTTTTTGACCACTGGATAGGAGTACAAGACTGTTTGAACCAAAGGATGGATAGTGGGAGAGCGTGTCTCTAAGAAAAATGGGAAGGAGGCCCCTTGACGTGACATGGGCTGTATCTTCGGTTCTCTATATGGCGGATGCTCGGTGTGGTTTGAGCTCTTTAGCATAGCATTTTTCACACAAAGCCTTTAATAAAAAAATCAGTAAACAAGTTCTCAACTTCTTTTTGCAGAAAAAAACAACTTTTTACACAAAGTCACGGGTTTCAACTGAATTTTGGAGCTTCGACAAGACGGAGGTTTTTTTCCCCCGAGTTCGGCCTGTTAGCTTAGCTCGTAGCTTAGCTCATAGCTTAGCTTCTCAGCTTAGCTGCTTTAAACAATTCAAAAACAAAATTTTGGATGGTTAAAACAGATTTTAAAGAAAAGAGAAAGGGAGGGGGTCATTGAAGAACACCAGAGTTGAGCTTTTTGTCATCCAGTGTCTTCTGTAGAAAGAGAGACATGAAGAAACGATAAAGCTGATAAATGAAAATGAGGTTGATAATTTTCATTTATCGTGCAATTAATTGATTTATTGTTTATCGCAACAAGCCTAAGTGTAACTTATCTTTGCAAAAATAGTACAAGCGAACTCCTGAACTTGATCTTTTTTCTCTCTGTTTGCTGTTTTTTAGTGCTGACGGTCTTGAGGGCTTTCCCCTGTCGGACCAGGCTGGCTGACAGGGACTCAGCCTCTGCTGTCGAAGAGGAGGTAATCTGTCAGCTGGGAAAGTTGACTCAGCACTAAGTCTATCCATGTTTTTGTTGGGTTTTTTTCCCAGGTGACACTTGGATAAAACATAGCTGGTTTCAAAATATTCAAGTTTTTCATGTAGACCAGTGTCCAGAACTTGTCAACATGCTTGGAAAAGTTGATTATTAAAGTGGCACTGCAGAAAAACACAACCTCTGATAAACATCAGTACTGTGTAGCGTACATTAATATAATTTTAAGGCCAGACAAACTGGGAATTTAAAAAAAAAGGAAAAAAAAAAGCAGCTAAACCTTTGTCAGCCACAATTTGTGCTTTTAGTTAGTTAAAGTGAATAGAGAGCAGGCAGGTCTGCCATGTTTTGTCACGTCAGTAAATCGGACGTTTTACTTTGTTCCAGATTTGTCAGAACCTGTTCATGCGTGGGCTGTCGTTGGTGGGCTGGTACCACAGTCATCCTCGGGGGCCGGCCCTGCCTTCGCTGCAGGACATCGACTCCCAGATGGATCATCAGCTGAGGCTGCAGGGCTCAAATAACGGCTTCCAGCCCTGTCTGGGCATCATCTGTGGTCAGTGGTGGCTGTAGATTAAGTGGCTGTGTTTAGCGTATTCTTAGTTTAGTGTATTTCTTAGTTCACATCTTAGATCTTACTGCTGTTTTTCTTTACAATTTATACTTTTGTTGAATGGAACTGGGACCCTGTGCACACAATTTTGTTCCACCACATGTACCACATGTGGCGCAAATGACAATAAAGAACCCTTGATCTTGAGAAGAGATACAGTGGTGCTCTAATCATGGGACAAACGGTTGATCTGAAGTCATAAGTGCACGTCCAAAAGACTTAAAACAAACTGGAATGTGTTGAAAGCTAAAGGTGGCAACAGATATTAATGTTGCAGAAGTTTGTAAATGGTTAACAGGTAGAGTTGCACAATCGGATTTGTGAATTCCTGGTTAACTAAAACAGAGGAACACAAGAGAAAACAAATTGGCTAGATTGCTCCTGAACTGTCTGTAAACTGTTTAATAGTCTCATAAAAACACTGAACAGTGGTGATTAGAGAGCATTGTAGCTCCAGAAACCAAAGACCTGCAGTTTATTTTTCCACTGTTGAGATCACGGTTACAAAACATCCACAGTGGCTAAAAATATGGGTTATTTTGACAGTTTGACAAGGTAGATAAATTGTTGCAGTGAAAGGAAATGGTGAATGTTAGCTATGGCAACATATAAACTATGTCGTGTTGAGGCAAATTTTTTAATTTATGCCTTGTTTCCAAATCAAAAAATGCTTGTGTTTGACCAGCTTTGCATTTCAAGACATCTTCACGGTAATGAGCCATGGATCCAGGCAGGTTTCATTTAGCTTTGGACTATTTCAGGTCCATATTACCATGGAAACCAAGGTGTGGCATCTACAATAACACCATTCTGGGTAGTACCACCACCTGAGGTAAGGACACAGAAATCATGCTTTTTATTTGTTCACCTTCTTTCATAAGTTTGCCAGTTTGTGCAGTGATAACAGATATCACAATGTCTCTGGTTGCAGCAAAGACCTAATGACTATGGAATCCCTGTAGCCGTGGAGGTCACTTATGTGCAGGACAACTTTTTAACCAGTGACGTTCTTAATGAGATGGTACTGAAAGAGCAATTAAAAGTTATATTAAACTAATGCAGAATTAAATCATGTCTGTCAAGAGAAACAGATGCGTATTTTCCTCCTCAGATGCTGCTGGTTGAATACTATAGAGCAGCTCCTGACCTCGTCCAGTTCAACCAGTACTGGTGTCCTGATACAACCATGATGGACAAGATTAAGGTGAGTTTACCTAAATGCAACCAGTTTTCTATATACCTGAGCTTCAGGTGTTCCAGCTGATGTAACTTGTCCAATTCTACAGGGCTCTCTGAGCTGCCACGCCCCCAAAGACCAGGCCTACTCGCAGATCTTGGAGCACGTCTACAGTCAGCTGAGCAACATGCACTGAGGTCCGTTCTGCGTATGAGACGTGAGAGCGCTGCAGCAAGTCTTTCATTTCAAACGCTTCCATCCACAGAGCTGGCGGCTCTGTGGTGGGCAGACAAACTTTGTGAATTTGGCTTGGGAAAACATCTAAATAGATCAATGCCTTAAATGAGCTCATACGTGAATCATAAACTCTGACGCAGCGTTATTGTGAGTTAAAACGCACTTCTGTGTTCGTGTGAACACAGCTGCTCCTGACGGTTGTACTGTATTTATGAGCAGAGACAAACAAACAATAAGAACCTAACACTCACATCCAACAAGAACAACAAGGATCTTATTTAGGGGCATTTCTTAAATTAAAAGCAGGCAGGCTGAATGGCCTTTGACCTTTTACACATGGACCTGTGTGTCTGTCTGTGACAGTATCTGATCAGATATCTGCAGATATGGACTATTTAAACTGTTATTGTCTTGCCTTTATAGACTCAATAGTGGTGCAAAAATATACTCCATAACACGTATGCAAAAGTAACGGTGTTTGAATTGTACTTTGCAGTAGATTTTGTTCTTATATGTGCTTTATAAGTCATATTTAAGGGTTGTGGTGCAAGTAAACCAGCTAGTCTAATGAAACGGGTGTTTGCGTGTGTTGTGAATGTGCCCATCAGCCTCTCAGGTGTGTGAGTTGCGAGTCTTGTTGGTTAGGGCAGATATTTGCTTCCTCTTTGATCATTACTGTATTTATTATTACCTGTGGACTGTGATATTCATGTACGAGGACAGAGCAATGCCTTAAACCTGCTGATCGATGATCCACAAAGTATTAAAGATACACACTGGAACTATTTAAACATGTGTAATTGGTATTTGTTAGCTTGATTTTGTTGGTAGAGCTTGTTAAATGCATCAAGCCAGAGACATATTTCTTTGTGACTGGATTTAAAATGGATAAAAGACAGCATTTAGATGTTTCTCTTTATTTCCTGTAAAAAGTCAGGAGGCAGGGAACAAAAAGGAAGCACATACAATTAATGTGAGTTAAACAAACAAACAAAAAAGTATTGCAGTTAAATTCTGTATTCATACCAAAAGTTTTAAAAAAGCAACTTACATCTAAAATATACACTTAACGAGGTGTAATGCAGGTCGACATGCAAAGATTAATTTAAATGTTTTAAGGCCTTGTATATAAAATATAATTCTACAAAGATCCATAGTGATTTAATGTTGCGTAAAGGAAAATGCAAGACTGATTAAACACATAGCCCTTAAAGGAGAAAAAAACAAAATGGGACTTTTAAAAAATGGATTCAAATTTTTTTTTCAAAGCACTTTTCCACTGGTGGTCTGCTTTGTATCAGTTTTAACAACCTGGAAATTGCCTTTAGTGTCATCGTGCAGAAATCTGCACTCATGCATTTAATCTTAACACATAAAAGTGCCAGCAGCTAGAAATAAAACAAGTAGGACAAAATAAATGGCTGGGTTAGGTTCTTTTCTGTTTTAAAGGCACTAAAACATGCACATAGGTGTTTTCTAAAATCATTATTCACACAGCACCTCCTATTGCCCTTAGCCCTGATCTACATACAAGTACTGAGACGTGTGGTCGCACATGTAAACATGAGATGGACCAAACCAGTGGGATGGTTAGGGTACAGGGAGCAGTGTGGAGTGATGAACAAACAGATAAAAAGAAAGAAATGAACAACTACAAACAAGCACACAGATGACATTCACAATTAAAACTTTTTTTTCTTACCATTGAAAATGAACAAAACACATTTTTGGTAATGAAGGCTGTCCTAGTTCATTCTTACAACCATGCTTCCCTTGATGTTTTCCCTTTAAACATCTAGCTCGTTCCCTCTAACTGTGACTGCTAATGTCCAGAACACGTATCCAGCCATGTCTGGACCAATTACACATCTGTGTCCATCAGCACAAATCAAATCAAAGTCACTGCGGATGATCAGTTACAGAATACAGTGAGTTTCACATTCTCCGAGACACATTAACAGCGAGGACAGTTAGGGGTGAATATAAAAGACCAACTCGCTGCCAGCAGCATCGTCCATGCAGGCACTGTATGGAGTTAAGGTGCCTAACAGGGCTTAAGTCTTAACAAAAAAGAAAAACAAGTTTAACTAGAACAAACAGCACAGAAGCTACATGAATATATGGCTGTTACAGAATCATTACTGCTAAACATGTTTCTATTGCATTTTATAGTCTTTTTGGCTCTGTCTCCTCTATTAGCAGGCTGGCAGGTTACCACAGATAACTTTTTATTTTTGATGTTTCTAAGCAACAAATGCATGTGCATGAAAAGGTGCAACTTTGAAATGTTACCTTTGAGTCAGTGTGAAATGATGGAGCACATCTGTAACAGAGACTTCAACTGATGTCCAACATGCAGTTAAAACATTTTCTGTAAAAACTGTGAAGACGACTTATTCAAACCTACTGAAACTAAGGGGGAACCATCAACACACCTGCCATTAACAGCTATTAACTAGAGAGCTACTTGAAAAAAATCCTTGCAGTCAAGACTTTTTAAAATCACGACCTAAACACTAATTTTGGCTCAAGTTTCTCCCTCCTTTTGAATACAATTAGTTCAAGTGACACGTTCATTTTAGTTTACATGAATGTAATTCTTGGTGGTGCCAAAAGATGGCATCAAGGGGTTCCCTTCAGTCCTCAGATGGTATTACATCCATCCATCACCTTTATCTGCTTCTTCCTTTTGGGGTCCTGGGGGTCACTGGTGCCCATATCCAGCAGTCACTGTGTGAGAGGCGGGGGACACCCTGGACAGGTCTCCAGTCCATCACAGGACACACATAGACAACGAGACAAACAATCATTCACTCACACCTAGGGACAATTTAGAGTTATCAATCAGCCTAACATGCATGTTTTTGGTCTGTGGGAGGAAACTGGAGCACCCGGAGAAAACCAACGCATGCACGGAGAGAACATGCAAACTCCACCTAGAAAGCCCCCAGCTGGGATTCGATCCAGCCACCGTTCAGTCATTTACTTTGAGGTTTGTGGTGCTAGTCTAAAAAACGTTAACAACGGAGACCTATATGAGTCAGAGACCATAGTTACACAAAATGAAAAAAAATCTGACATCCCAGTTACTGCTTTTTAAAACAAGTTTTTTTTTTTTTCTGTATGGCTGATCTATAAAGAAATATTATTGCTTACAACAGTCATTTGTTTGTCCTTAAGAAATTCTTCTTACTTTCAGGTGAAGCATAAAAATGTCTATGTTCTCCTTTGAATCATCTTACGTTTTGATAAACCAGGTGAATATTCTGGTTTGACATCATATCCAGATCTTGTGTTGACAAAAGTGCTCATTCGTGACGATGACGATGGAGCTAAGAGTGAAAAAGAAACCTTTGTGGACCATTACTTGTCTTGCTCCTCACCATTTCTGCTCTCTTTCTCTTCTGTCAGTCTCCTTGTAGCCTTTTTGTTGTATTAGTGTGGCAACGGAACAAGGACTTCAACGTAATTGAGAGGGAAGAACCCAGACTGGCCATTCAGCATGCCCTCATACCAGTTTTCATCGATCTGATTGGTCAGGGTGATGATGTCACCCTCGTGGAAGCCCAGCTCTCCCTCGTTCTCTGGATCGAAGTCGTACAGCGCCTTGCAGCTCGGTTGCTCTAGAGCTGAGAAGAATAAGGAAGAAAAAAGATTAGACTTATAAAAACAAGCTTTAAGATACAAAAAAAAAAAAAGGCCCACAGCAGTGCCACTTTTACAAGGAAAAGATGCCATGCTCAGCTTTGGCATGACTCTATGTGGTTTGTACATTTTCCATACCGAACTGAGCCAAACCGGGCTGAAGAGCAGTGGAAAAGGAGCTTTAGATAGATAACATCATAGCTTTGAAAACAGTTTATAAATTCTGGTGACCAGGGTTTAATTTCTCAAACTTAACTATCTACAGTGTTCCCAACATTTCATGAAAACAACATTTCTTGTTTTGCCTGATTTTTCCAAGTAAACCCTGAAATTCCAGGAGATATTATCCATCATCTTTACCCGCTTATTCCTTTTCAAGTCGTGGGGTTACTGGTGCCCATGTCCAGCCATCACTGTGCAAGAGGCGGGGGACACTTTAGATAGATTGCAAGTCCTTCATAGAGATATTTCCATTGCACCAAATGCTCAGAACTTAGCATCTTAGGAGGCTGGTAGAGACTCACATTCAGAGATGATAGGAAGTATACTGTAGCCTATAAGGTATATGCATATGGCAATCATTCCTAATAATTAATTATACTGTATAACATCAGACACTAAAACACCACCACAGCCAATCAGTAAGGAACAGTGTTGGCATAGCCAATTTGGTGCCCTAGACATGATTTTAGATAGCGTCCCCTGCACAATTTTATAAATTTCACTGCCAATCTACATAAGAAACTAAATAGCTTTGTCTTTGATATAATTTGTTTTAGAACCCAGGCTAATGGCAGGGAAGGACACTTGCATTAGTGAACACTTGCTGAGTGAAGCAGTATTAGGAAGGTCCAGGGGCATGCTCCCCTGAATTTTTTTTAAATAAACTACTCAAAACTATGCATTCTCCAGCCATTTAAAGTGCATTTTGCTAAATTCTTATTGCTAATAAAACCTAAAACCAGTATATTATGAAGGTAGAACACTGACTTCCAACCATCTATAAGCTGAACTTTATTTGAAATCATATTTGAAAATTGCATTACACTGTTTTTTTCTTTTTACTCACTGCACCATGGGTTTGTCTTGACTGCATCATTTTGTACTTTTATTACAATATACCTTCTGTACAATATAAAATTTATGCACTAACAAAGCAGGCAATCTTGGCAAATCTACTAAGTAGGTAACGCAGAACAAATTGCCTTCATAGACCTGAGTAATCAAGTGACTATTCTACATACTAAATCAATTTTACCCAGATAAAAGTTTATAAAATCTTTTAAAAAATACAATGTACTTGTTGAGCACAATACAAGTAGATATGCCCTCACTAATGCCGCTTTGCCATTGATGAGTGCAACTCCACTCAGCTCTCCTCTCGGTTCTTCTCAGATGTGGGTGATTTGCCACTACAGTGGGGGGCCGACCCGTTTCCCTGCACTGTGGGCAGAATCGTCAGTGCAAACTGGGCGGTATCCTAACAGTTATTGTTAAAGCCACTCTACCCTTTGTGGCCTTTAACTGCCCTATTATTGGACTTCAATTTCTTTAGCATATCTCAGCACTGCTTACAGGTCCTTCTCAAAAAATTAGCATATTGTGATAAAGGTCATTATTTTCCATAATGTAATGATAAAAATGAAACTTTCATATATTTCAGATTCATTGCACACCAAGTGAAATATTTCAGGTCTTTAATTGTTTTAATACAGATGATTATGGCATACAGCTCATGAAAACCCAAAATGCCTGTCCCAAAAAATTAGCATATCATGAAAAGGTTCTCTAAACAAGCTATTAACCTAACCATCTGAATCAACGACGTAACTCTAAACACCTGCAAAAGATTCCTGAGGCTTTTAAAAACTCCCAGCCTTGTTCATTACTCAAAACCGCAATCATGGGTAAGACTGCCGACCTGACTGCTGTCCAGAAGGCCATCATTGACACCCTCAAGCAAGAGGGTAAGACACAGAAAGAAATTGCTGAACGAATAGGCTGTTCCCAGAGTGCTGTATCAAGGCACCTCAGTGGGAAGTCTGTGGGAAGGGAAAAGTGTGGCAGAAAACGCTGCACAATGAGAAGAGGTGACCGGACCCTGAGGAGGATTGTGGAGAAGGGCTGATTCCAGGCCTTGGGGGACCTGCGGAAGCAGTGGACTGAGTCTGGAGTAGAAACATCCAGAGCCACCGTGCACAGGCGTGTGCAGGAAATGGGCTACAGGTGCCGCATTCCCCAGGTCAAGCCACTTTTGAACCAGAAACAGCGGCAGAAGCACCTGACCTGGGCTACAGAGAAGCAGCACTGGACTGTTGCTCAGTGGTCCAAAGTACTTTTTTCGGATGAAAGCAAATTTTGCATGTCATTCGGAAATCAAGGTGCCAGAGTCTGGAGGAAGACTGGGGAGAAGGAAATGCCAAAATGCCAGAAGTCCAGTGTGAAGCACCCACAGTCAGTGATGGTCTGGGGTGCCATGTCAGCTGCTGGTGTTGGTCCACTGTGTTTTATCAAGCGCAGGGTCAATGCAGCTAGCTATCAGGAGATTTTGGAGCACTTCATGCTTCCATCTGCTGAAAAGCTTTATGGAGATGAAGATTTCATTTTTCAGCATGACCTGGCACCTGCTCACAGTGCCAAAACCACTGGTAAATGGTTTACTGACCATGGTATTACTGTGCTCAATTGACCTGCCAACTCTCCTGACCTGAACCCCATAGAGAACCTGTGGGATATTGTGAAGAGAAAGTTGAGAGACGCAAGACCCAACACTCTGGATGAGCTTAAGGCTGCTATCGAAGCATCCTGGGCCTCCATAACACCTCAGCAGTGCCACAGGCTGATTGCCTCCATGCCACGCCGCATTGAAGCAGTCATTCGTGCAAAAGGATTCCCGACCAAGTATTGAGTGCATAACTGAACATGATTATTTGAAGGTTGGCTTTTTTCTATTAAAAACACTTGTCTTTCATTGGTGGGATGAAATATGCTAATTTTTTGGGACAGGCATTTTGGGTTTTCATGAGCTGTATGCCATAATCATCAGTATTAAAACAATTAAAGACCTGAAATATTTCAGTTGGTGTGCAATGAATCTGAAATATATGAAAGTTTCATTTTTATCATTACATTATGGAAAATAATGACCTTTATCACAATATGCTAATTTTTTTAGAAGGATCTGTATAAGTTCGGGTGTAGCTATACTGCGCCATCATCTCAGATATCCCTCACTAAATGCACTTATTTCTTATGGCACTGTCCGTCAACACGATGAGGAAGTGGAGGTTCAGATGTAGTTTGCAGTTTTACTGAGCTGGTCATCCAGTAACGTAGTTCCGCTGGCCAATCAACGGCTGCTGTCTGCTTATGCCAAAATTGACCCCTCAGAGCAGCCCGCTTGGAACCTCAAATAAGGTGGTCCCATAAACCGGGCTGAGTGGGGTGGATACCGACAATGGAGAGGTTCTTAACTGTTGCTGTGTCGTGCAACGCCGAGCAGAGTTCAGACAGTGGCAAAGTGCCATGTACGATGCTTCAGAAACCTATGCAACCAGTTCTGTTACTAAATAAACTGCAAATACTTCCTAATAGCCAAGTTTTGAAGTCCTCATATTCCACAGTGATCCAGATAATGATGTGCATGTGAGCAGGTACAGTAGTAAAGGAGGAGGGTGCAAGCTAAGCAAAGTATTATTGTTACTAACAGTAATACGGTAGTATTTAATATGCTTTGCTATGCAGCTGAAAAAGTATAAATAGTTTTTAGGAACACAGTAGTGCTTCGCTACTTCGCAGTTCGACTCTTGCAGACTCGATCTTTTGTGTTTTTTTAAAGTAAGATAGTACACGAGAAAAAAAATTGTACACGACACATGATTGCCAACTATAATATTACTCACGTGATTGGGACAGTATGAGATTCAGTAAAAAATTAACGAAAAAAAAATACTTTGGCTAGGCACCGCCATTTTGTAGTTTTCTCTCAATAAGCCTACACTGTATTGCCACTCCAAAGGACTACATTTCCCAGAAGCCATTAGTGCCCCCACACAGAAGCAACAGTGCTTCCAGCCGTTGCCTTTTGCAGAAATGGAGGGAAAGTTTTGATCCAATCCGAAAAAGTTTGGTACTTATTCATAGTGACTTCAGCGCCCAGCAGATGCAGAGAGCAGCACAGAACCAACCGGGAACCGGACCAGAACTGGACCTCCAGACTCATCGGTCAATCTGAGTGCTGCCTGCCGGCCCATGAGGCCTCCCGAGCAGGGAGCGCCACCCTGAGGTCCAGCGTTCTCTCTGGAGCCCACCGGGACTTCCCCCATATGAATTTGGACTCGATTGGGACCACCGTGTGGTGCCATGCTGGCCATCCGAAGGTTCGGCTCCCTCCAAAAGTGTTTTGGTGCTCAAGGGCTGCAGAAAGCCGACCAGAACCGGCAGGGTAGGTCTGGCAAGGTAGCTCTGGCAAGGTAGCTCTGGCAAACTGGAACCGAGCCACTGTGTTCTGCAGAGCTGGTGAGTAAAATTTTGCAGTACTGTACAGAACATTGCAAAAGTGTGGGAAGGGTTCCTAAAGCATATATATATATATATATATATATATATATATACTAAAATAAGTATAACATCCCTACTTCATGGAGTTTCACTTATTGCCGGGGGTGGGGGGTGTTTTTAATATAAGAAAGTTACACTTTTCTTTCTATCTCCATTTGTGGTGCCCACTGGATGGACGGCACCCTTAGCATTTGCCTATACTGTCTGTCAATGCCACAGGCCGGCTCTGGTAAGAATACATATATTATCTACACCATAGAAGCAGAACACTGAACTCATTGTTACTATAATACTTATACTAGCATTAATACACATACACATTAAAATCTCAGAAAGATCCTCACTGAATCAACAGATCAGTGTTCAAATTCCCAGAGTTTTCCGTCTGGTAAATGTGAAAGTCATTTTCCAGGTTTTTTCTGATTTCCAGAGTCGCTGGCAACCTTGCATCTCTGACGCCAGGTTCCTGTAGGACTGCCGTCCTGCTCTCATTCTTCATTTTGTCTTTCTGTCTCTGTGACCTCACACAGATCAGCACGGATGTACACGCAGACAAACTCGGCCTTTTGCTGCCAAACAATTTTCTCATTGTATCAACTTCACCCTACACACTGCTGACTGACAAAGGCTAGAGGGCTGGGCTAGAGAAGGCAAAGACTATGGTCACTCATTCTTGATTACTCACCACAGTATCAGTTTACAGGAGCAAAAAAGAATAAAACACTTGGTAAAGAGTACTGCCAACAATTACCAACACTTCATAACAGGTGGGTAAAAAGAAGCTGCTTGGCCTTTACACAGTTTCTACATGAGCAGCAAGTAAAAAAATGAATCCAATATTTCACTTTTTTTTACAAATGTCTAAGTTAATGCCCTAAAAGTAAATTATTCACACATATTAAGCCAAAGAATGTATGTAAAACAGTGGGAAAGCAAAAGCAAGAATATTAGAAATGTTATAATCTTAAATATGAATGCACAATAAATAGAACCAGATGTGAAATTTTGTCCTTTATTCACCAGATATTTCCTATCATTGCACAATCTTGGTTAGATAATAGTGTGAGATTGTTGACATGTTTATTACTTTCACAACATGCAAATTACCACACGTTAGTCATGTAACGTCATGCTTTGTTGTGTTCAGCTTAGACTTGGTTAGAAAAATAAAGTTTTGACAGACTAGGTAGTATTTGTAAGCAGTAAACATCAGGCAGTGTTTTTTTCTTTTTTGCATTTAAATTAACGAACAGTAAGTGTATTTAGTCAGCTGTGTTTTTCTAACCCAGATGAAAATCAGACAACGAGGAAGTCAAGGCAGTACTTCAGAAGCCAGGATGTGGAATTCAAACAAAACCACAAGCATGCTGATGTTTCAGACAAATTCATACATAATATAAACAACTGATGTGAAGCTACTATTCCGACATTTTGTAACAGATGCTGTGCGCGCACACTCACAAACGTGTGCTGGACATTAGCAAGACCACAACAAGCAGCCTACACACACAAACACACACATAATCTGTGACTCACACAATCCTGGTTTCCGAAAGGACAAGAGAAATGGCAGATCTGCTGATGTCACAGGAAAAGGGAACAAGGTCAGCCAGAGAAAGGCCAGCTAGATAAATGGGAGGGACACACATGCACACACCATCACCTCTCTCGCACTAAACACGTTCATGTTTTCCTGCTCAACAACTAAATCATGGTAACAGTTTGTATGTTAAAGTTTCAGGGATACATTAATTTTTAATCTTCCAGCAGACTACAGAAAGTGAAAGAAAATGTCCGAGTCTGTTTCTGCTACATTGTTCATGTTGAGCAATGATGTCAACACAAAGGGGTTCAGTTTAGTCTCTGAGATTTCAAAGAAGAGGGAGGAGTTTCATGAAGGCATGTTATTTTGGCTCAGTCCATTTAAGTTCGTAGAAACAGGTGGATATTTTGTTGGTGTAGGAACCGAGTTAGGAAGGTTTTGTCCACATATTTTATATGACGACCTTTAGTGAGACTTTAGGAGTAACAGATCTGGGAAGATGAATAATTATCTGTAAACAGTTAAAGAGTTTGTGTGTTACCTGTGCTGCGTGATGGAGGAGGAGCCATTGAGCTCGAGTAGCCACCATTTGAATGGTTGTTGTCTCCAAAGTCGTAGATAGGTTTAGGTTTAGGTGTGTATTCTCGTCTTGGTCTAGACTGAGCTTCGTTCATCCTGTTAAAAAAAACAAAAAAACATTTTATTTAGGTATCAGATTAAACATAATCTTATAAACATATCTGGACTGCAGTGAGTGGGAGTGAGTTTGTTGCAGATTTGAAACAGAACTGAAACTCAGAGCACGCTGGTCTTTGTACGTCTTGAGGTTTCAATGCACCCACCTGTCACGCAGCTTGTCAGAAAGCTCTTCCAGCACTTGCACAGCTTGTTTGTGATATTGAAGCTGGGACTCCACCAGGGATGAAAGCTGGCTCACTTGCTCTATCTACACACACACACACACACACACACACACACACACACACACACACAC